TTGGAGTCAAGCTTCTGCTTCAAGATCGTTTATGGTGGTGCTCGATGAGCTAGTAAGAGTATACCTTGAGATTTCCAAGCTCACTGAGGGAGTCTGTGAAGCTTTTTGTAAGAGGCTTTAGCTCATCATGCTGCTCAAAATCCAGAACGTAATGGGAATCAGAAAGAAACACAGAAGCCAGAATTCATCAACTTATTATAATCACTAACCGGAAATGCGTAAGTCATGTAGTTATCATACGCATGATAAAACCTGTAAAAAGAAAGAAAACCAAGTATGATTGTATCCTTCTCTTGGGTTTCTTACACTATTAAGTCACCAGATTGATGATATTATTTGCTAATTCGTAATGAAGGTCTATCAAATCGCAGGAATTGAAAGGGTTTCTTTACCAAAGACATCGGAATCGAAACACTTACATTTTGCGGACTTTCTCTCGCATTTGTTTCTTCTTGATATGGAGATGCTGCGAGGAGGGGTCAGCGAAGAAGACGGAAGAAATAAGTAAGAAGAGGAATAGGCGATTGGGATGGAGAGGACAAAACATGATTGATTGGTCGCAGAGACGAAAACAGGAGCAATTTATGTTTTGCTCAACTCGCGGCGACTTGTCTAATCCATCTCGATTCCGCAGCTTGATGATGGTCGGCCGACGTCACTTCTTCTCTAATTACCATTTTACCCTATCAAAGCTTCCGATTGTGATAACTAATCACGACAAACCGATCCGATGGGACAATTTGTCGGAAAAAATGTAAGTTACTGAGGTCTGGACCCAAATACTCATTATTCGGCTTGTACTCGCTATTCGACTTGTACTCGACTTGAAAAAGCAAGTGCTTGTCCTGGTCAAACCGAGTAACAAGTCAACATATTTTAACAACAATTTTTTTTTTACTACTTGACTTGTTACTTAAGCCGCGCTTGACAAGAGCAAGAGAGATCTGGAAACGGCACGGGACTGTAAATCCCTTTTTCGGTGGTTCGAGTCCACAAGCCACTTCTAGCTCTTAGACTTTGAGAAAGGGGTTCCTCCGGCGCCTTGTTCCGTTAGTTTACTTTTCATTTTCAGTCTTGTAAGTTAGTTATGTCTTTCAAGGGGTCTCACCATCCCCCGCACTTCTTATTGGTGGAAGCGGCTTGATACTCGTTTACATTACTTGCTTTGATACTTGTTACACTTCTTATGGAGTATTTGTTAATACATGAAGGTATGGGCAAATTATCTTTTGGAACTTTAATGTTTTGTGATTTTAGGATGTTTGAACTTGAATATTTTGTAAGAACTTTAAATGTTTTGTAATTTGTATGGAGATTCTTTTTATTCAAGTACTTTCAAGTAGTAAGTATATGATTTTGGCAAGTAACAAACCGAGTCAAGTTACTTGCAAGTCACATGATTTTTGACGAGTACTTGATTAAACAAGTACTTGCTTCGAACGAGTCAAGTATCAAGCCGGAATTTTTGTTACTTGAACAAGCCAAGCCGAAATTATCTCAAGTCTTTTTGTCACTGTTGTTCACCGATATTCTTGGCATATCCCGGTCAGTTTGGATTTTCCTCGGGTTCGAGGCGGCGCGTGGTCTTGGTCTACGCGATCTCTAAGGATCTTCGTCTTCGGAAAGTCGCTTATGTTAGGCATGTGAGGCATGGTGTGTGTCTCTCGAAATTGGACCAGTGTGCTTGCTAGTGTTTAAGTTATTTGTTTACAGTTGATCCATTTGAATTCCTCACTTTTCTTTCTAGGTTCGATCGTGTGCTGTTATGGATTCTGTTTTCGGTACATTCCGATTAATGTGGGCTCGCTTTTTATAATTCTACCTAGGCGTCGTCAAGTAGGGGCTTCTCCGGGATCGCCAAGTCGATGCTTCTCCGGCATCGACATTACCGAGAATTCCGTGCAAAGATTCAGTTTTTTTAGGATTCCTTCATCTTGCCAATTTAGTTTTTTAAGAACATTGATTTGGTGAGGTAGACTTATTCGCCATAAAAGGAGCTGTATTTCGTTTGTTTCGGTCTTGTTGGCCCTTTTGATATGCTTTCGCGATCGTGTTGCAAGGTTTAGGTAGTCTCTGGTGAGGTTTGTTTAGATTTAGCTCCATAATTTATTGTTTCATTTGGTTCCTTCTCGAGGTTGAGTTCCTATTTATTTTTAAACATTTGATGTATTTTGGGATTATCTTTGTCTTCTTTTCGCAGGGCTTACACTATTGGAGTTTGTTTAAATTTATCGGCTTAGTGTGCGAGGCTGGGACTTTAGCCTTCG